CCAAAGACAAAATACGTGCCGATTAAGCACAAATTCCCATGAAAAATGATCCTATATCAGCGAAACAAGTTTGTTCCTTTTCGCTTTCGGTTCGTGGCGCAGCAGGACTTGCTTTCACGAACCTCTGAACTCTCTGGATCGCAATGTAACCCGGCTTTCCGAGGCTTTTAGTAGTTGGTGACCATGCATTTCTTGGCAGCCTAAAAGACAAAATTGGGGAATTTACAGAGAGTTCAGAAGCAGAACGCAATATACACCCTCATTAGTTGTCGCAACCAGAAAGGCTGTAAAGGCCAGCCAAGTGGTCCTCAAAGCCAGTCCTTTAAGCTTTTCGGTCTTTGAAAAAGACACTTTGCGGGCTTTGATCAAGTGACACATGACGATGTTTGACACGCACGCCCACCTTCCCGTACTTGACTACACACCACCATGGTGTTTTAACCTTTTGGCAGCTGCACGCAATCCCGCTCCAGCTTCCACGGATACTGTCTCGGCCGATATTTCTCTCGACCACGGATCCCATCTGGAAGTTGGAAGATTCCATCGAGGGCCTCGCCTCTCCCGTGGCTGATTATCCCCCACGAGAATTCCGGACAACCCCTAGCCCCACACTTCACGACCTCAGAGAACGACGGGAAGCGAGAGGAAAGCTGAATGGCAGCTTCCCGAACGAGACAATTCTGTCGCAGTTGTGAGGTGGATGCCGTCGCTCAGGTCACGTCTGAATCCCGCAGTCAATACCGCACTTGCAGCTCTCGTGTCGGAGAAAGTGCGCCATGACCTAAGAGTTCCACCGAAGGCGACCTGATATCTAATACCGACCTTGTCTGACGATAGAACATGTTTTGGCACAGAGAGACAAAAAGGACAATTTTGCTGTGGGCAGGCAATTGATTTGATTAAATCGAAAGCTTGCTCAGTGACGAGACCGGGAGCAGGGCTCTTGTGAAATCAAGGGACTCTGCGGATACACGTGTAAGGCACGGTACGGTCAACGTCCGATACACGAACCGCAATTTTGAGTTTGTAGCGGGGTGTCACGTATGGAGATGCCACTCTCGAGATGTGTCATGAAGTCCTTGTATACTTGTCCTAACCCTACCTGCATACGTCAATCAGGATATGACCACCTCTATTGATACACGTGGTAGCACGGGTGAGCAACGGCCGGACATACAAACTTGGACGTCCACACACCATCTCAGTTACCGTTCCATGGTGCTCATTGGGGATCGATCCCGGGAATCTTGCCGCCCGGTCCGCACGCAGCCACTTGCGAATCGTGGGCAGCAGCATCCCATGATGTCTGTTTGACGACATTTCTGGGCAGAAATTTCCAGACGACATGAAACAAACCCATCTGATCTCTTTTCCTCTGTCTTTTCTGCAAAATGCCATGATCGCTTCGGGACATATTACGATTACGGTAATTGGTCCAAGAGTCCCGAGCTTAAAAGAACAATCCTGAGCAAATCGTGACAACCGTTTTAGGTTATTACACGAACAACAACAAACTCTCTTGGCCTTTGTCAGCGGTACGTCCCTGAAACTGTCCGTGCCACGCTTCTGGAAGCTTGCCATATTAGGTCGCGCCCCGAGAAACGAGTCAGAGGGCAGAAGGCTTCGCTGGCTCCAGTAAACCTTGAGCTCGAGCAGCGAAAGGCGTGCTCGGAATTGCCTCGGAAAGGGAGCGATGGGGGCCCCGCCCGATACTGTCGGTCCTGGTCCGGCTGCTGATTCAGACGACAGCCCACTATCACCTTGGAACTTCTGATTTTTGGTGCAGCGGTCGGAGGTGGACCGTTTCCATGCGTAATAAACGGCGGGTCTCTCGTTAGTCACTGCGGAATGGGCCGCTGGGACGCTTGATAATCATGTAATATCGAGGTCCATCCGAGGCTCTTCCTGAGTCCTGACTCAAGTCCGCGGCTCAGTATGGCAACATCTGTGTCAATTCTACGGAGTAGTAGGACTGCTATCGCCGGCGGAGCAGCTTACAAACCGGGTGTACCAATTAGAGCTTCCGTCTCTTCCACTCTCTGGAAGTGCTAGCCGGCCGGCAACTCGTAGCCATGTGGACTCATGGATCGAGGAACGCAGGGATGTTTTGTACAATTTCCTCAAGTATCGAATACGATGCACGATACCCGCCACTAAGTGGACCGAACGTTGAATGTTGCACATATCGCAAAGGATGAAAGGAATAGGGGAGTGTGGGATGGGATAACAAGTCGCAAGATGTCCGTTAAGTGGGCGATTCGCAGCACGCTGCCAAGGCATCATCTCCGTACTCCGTACGCTTTAAACTTCCAGACCTCGGTGACGGCGACGGACAACACTGTCGGAGGCCTTTGGACACAGACGCCAAGAAGGTTGGAAAAGTTCGACCAAAAGTCTACGTGAAAAAGTGTCGGGGTTCTGACTCCTGCGATAGCCGCGGAAACCACGCTGACAAGTGGAATTGGTGGAAGGGGAAAAACCTTCAAAAAAAAAATAGACCATCCGAACTATCGAATATGTGCCTGTGTCATCAAATGCTAGCATCCAGAAAGCTGCAAGTCGCTTATGTCCGGGGCACGCAGCTGCTCGCTCCTACATACACACACACACGCTTTGACAAACGCACACCCACCCACACTGATCATCTTTACATTCACCCCCTTGCCCACAACTCAGCTACGACATGGGTGTGTGCATCCGATCCAAGTAGACGCCAAGCAAAATATCCGTGGTGGGGATGGCATCGTACCAGAGGACCCAGTTGTCCAGAGGGTCTCCTCATGAACCACGAACCGGACCCGAAGTGCGCCAACGGACTCGGAGGAGCTCGGGGTGCCAAGCCCAATGGGGGTGCATGTTGTGGCCTTGTTCAATTACCAACCAACAGCATATCATGCGACTGAAGACGAGCCAGGACTGGTAAGCTGTGAGTAATGTAAAATCATGAAAGCATGCTGACTTTCAGCCTGGCGGGCCCTGGTGGGAATTTGACTTTAGCATCCCTGACGACAAGCACTCGTAGAAGACCCTTCTGCCTGCCGGGCCCCGCACGGCCATCCCAAGCGCGCTCTACACTACGGTGTAACGGGACCTGAACGGGGTTGAAGGGTCCTTAAGAAAGTTTACGCTATTGATATCCCTCCAATTATCCTGTCTCGACGGAGAGATCACCGTGATCACCTGCTGCCTGCAAAGTTTGGTGGCACTTGAAGCGGTCAACAAGGCTGAACTGAAACGCCAATTGTGAATGCTCGATGATCCGGTTGAATCATTCGGTAGAATTCAGAGTTTATCAAAGTGATATAAGATACTCCCTAGCCGCACTACGGAAACCATGGCCAACCGAAATCACCGACCCTCTACCCACCGTCTTCCGGGTCTCGGGGACAGAAGCACGGTCAGTTGATGGAATTGTACAACGGTGGCTGGAGCTACAGCGGGAATCGGGGCTGAGGAGCTTGAACCTGGCGATCCATGACACGTTCATGTTTGAACACCATGGCGATGCCAGGGTGGTGCCAATGCTGATCGGGCCTAATCCGATGAATGTCCACCTGGATAATCTTCGGGCTCCCTCCGAGCCTATTATTTGCCGTACCATATCATGGAGCGGGATCCAAAGTTTGGTACAAAACCTGAATGCTGACATATATTGCAATAGACTTTGTGATGCGCTATCTGGTTGCCTCCTAAAATAACTATCAACGTTGTACGAAATCACTGATAGCTGCATTACCACCACTGATAAAGATGGGAGGAAAGCATCAAGTGCTGCCAGAGAAATACCGAGGACTTTTAGGAAGCTTTGAACGGAGGATGGCGCAGCCGACCTATCGATACCCCGAGGTGCCACGGAGCTTGAGCTACTAGGTAGCTTCCAAAGTGGGAGCCCCTGCTCGATACCCTGGAAATTCCATATAACCCTCGACCTAGAGGAGATCGTGGGGCAAAGGAGAGATCCTGAGAGAAAGTAGTGTATTCGTAGGCGAGCCTTACCCCTTGACGTATCGCATCAGTTCTCAAACCTTTGAGCAATCTAACAAATCACCTAGTACGATTTTAGGTTGAGACGGCCCTCGTAAATTTTATGCGAGCGAATGGGAGAATATCGCAGCGATGCGCTGAGGCTAACACATTCCGCAGATTGCGGACTCTCAACTTTAAATGAGTGATGAGTCGAACTTGATGGTTCTAGACCACTCAAAGTCTCTGCTCGTTGTTGGAGGACGGACTAATCAGTGCGAGACAATTGGCGACGGCGGTGAAGCTATCGGAGGGCTCCTAAGACACCGCGCATGCGTAGTGAGAGTAAGGTTTGTGGCTTGTCGCAGGCGCGTGTGTATCTGAGACTGACCCGGGCCGACTTCCGGGTGATGAGATGAAGTCGGATACCGGTGCCTCCCTTTTCCGAGTATTCCCACGTGATTTGGACGCCACCACACACCAGCCACACCGCTAACGGCATGTTCCGCACGCAGGTGCCGCCTCTACCGGGTACCCACGACACAGCTGGGCAGTTCGTCGGAAGAGCTCCATTTCTTGTCAGGAATTTTTTCTACATTCTGGGTCAGAGACGCGAAATCCAACGTGACTTTCACCGCGCGCGTACGCTACCAAAGCAGCATCCGCATTGATCAATCCGACCGAGCCTTTCTGCAAGCTTCTGGGTTGATCGTGTACGCTCACTGACGAAGCTTCGGCGGCCACGGCACATTGGAGACCGGCGCATCGGAAACAAGACACACTTTTTTGTCGTCATCCACGCGGACTTTACGGCGATTCGGACCCCAAGCTCCCAACAGAATTTCCGTCTGCAAGCGAGCTTGCCGCGCGCTGCGCATCTATATCGCATCCCGTCACCCACGACCGACCCTTCCGACCTTGACTCGAGTCGGGGCATACCATAACACGTCACGAGAACCAACAACGCGTATCTAGGGACTGCTGGTGTGACCCTGTCATCCATCAAGATGATGCGACCGGCATTCCAATTGGCAACTATGCCTCACCGTGCGATACCGGCAGCGAGGCAAAACGTAACAGAAGCACTATGGAGGAAGCAGTTCAGTGCATCAACGAGAACTCTCAAGACTGCGCCCTCTCGAGCATTGAATCAACGACCTGGTGCGCCACAATCCCAATTCCGATGGTCGCAAAGCCAGGGCTCAAGTTGGTTCACGTCTCGGCTCGATACGATATTTCATTCATCACGCCGGACATTCCGGTTCTCCTCTAGGCAAAGCAATTCGGCAAACGGGACTGCCAAGGAGTCGCTTTCGCTTAGCCAAAGGCTGAAGAAGCTTTCGCGAGAGTATGGTTGGTCCGCCGTTGGCGTGTATCTCGCCTTGAGCGTACTTGATTTCCCGTTTTGTTTTCTGCTTGTGCGGATCGTTGGAACGGACCGAATTGGTGAGCGATATATGCGTCTAAGTGTAGTGAGTCAGTATTGACACATTCGCCGTAGGCCAGCTGGAGCACTGGGTAGTGTCCCACGTTAAAAAAGTGATCCCTGATTCGGTTAAGAATTGGTGGAACGAATACAGAGCTGCACTCAGCAAGGCCGAATCTGAGCAGCTGGGAAACGACGACATCAGCGAGGCTGTTGAGATGGCAACCTGGGGAGTCGAGGAAGCGCAGCGCGCTAATAAAGCGGAAGCCAGTAAGTTGAAGCAAAAAAGAAGCACGAGGCTCTCAAGGCAGAGGGTTGAGACGCCCACGAACTTACTTTGTCATAGGCTTGGGAACTCAGTTGGCTTTGGCATATGCAATCCATAAAAGTTTCATTTTCCTCAGAGTGCCTCTGACCGCCGCGGTAACGCCAAAGGTTGTCAAGGTGCTCAGATCATGGGGATGGCAGATCGGCAAACGGCGGAGCAAATGAGCCGAAATCTGGGGCCCTCCAGCTTCCGCCCGGCTGGTGGGTCAGAGGTCCTGGGATGCCGGCACCTCCTTAATGTATTATCAATGAACGATACGTTCGTTCGCCTTATTCTCGGAATTGGCATGCGAATCGGTCCTGTTTCTTTCTTATTGACGACTTATAGATCCACTCACCAGTTACCCTAGACCAGCATCATTACCACTGTGTACCGCAAGGTCGCAAACTCTGTGCCGCTTTGTGTATAATACAGTTGGCTTGGCTGAATAGAATTTGCTTCGATACAAAGTGCTACCGGATGTGCACGGCATGATGATCAACAGACGGGACTATTTGTGTTTTCGCATTGGAAATCAAGCCTGGGCTGTCAACAAGCCGTGACTCCCGAGTGTGTAGGAATTATCCAAACTTTTTGCTGAACCTCCCATCGTCGAAACGTCATGCCCAAAATCAAGGGCCCGATGAGGGTCTTGGCGTTGAGACCGGAGCGGATGAAAGGGGTGCTGTTGGCATACGGCGGTCATCCAAGCGCATGTAGCAAACAGCGCTACTCAAATGTTCTTCCGGGCTTCGAGAATCATGCTCGATTCGTGTCTCCCTACGAGACTGCGCTTCAGTCTCGGTGGCGCGCACGGGTCCGTGGTGCGTATCAAGCGTCGAACCCCGCAGCCGAGCTACTGCCTTAGTTGAACCGACTCCGCGAGGGGATTCCCAGCCGGTCATGATCTCCCAGATTAATAAGGTGACGCAGCTCTCCGGCGCGGCCACGGCTTTACTGCGGCGTACTTGGACCAAGCACCGGGCGATGATAATGGTGGTGAGAGTGGGCAACGGAAAATGGCCGATTGAAGGCTGGCGACCGGGCCTGGCCACGCGATGGTGAAAGCATTGGTCGGTGGCCGCGATGTGCTTCCCGTGAAAGCCGACCCGCCCACAATCTCCCATAGTCTGCAGAGCTGTCCAGGCCCCTTGAGATTCTTTACCCCAATGAGCGGAAGTCGAGGTGTGGAATGGTGCCGCGGTACTGAATTGGGTGCCTTTTGCCTCGCTTTGCTCGCGCTTCCGCGACTCGCCTCTTGCCCCCCTGGAGACTCCATGGGTCCGGACGGTGATGTCTTCACTCCACACTAAGGAGAGCTGAAGGAGCATAGCGTTTGCTGGCCACCTCAGTAACGAACAAGGGTGCTTCTCAGTCCGAATGGGTTGCTGGAAGATGGAATCCGGTTCACCGCCGCCTGACCGGGACCTGACCGTCTACCTCAAACGGTAGACACCCACAGGTCCCTCACATCTGCCGTGGCACTGTTGGTTCCTGCTTGTCAAGCCTCTGCATGATCACCCAGCCCGGCTCCGTACTTCTCCAGAATTTAGAGTTTCTCGGTCTTCTAGAAAGAGGGCCAGGGCAGCACGTCCGACCGGTGGAACAGGTGGGAACCGGTGGGCCTTCAAATCCTGACTCGCCCCGGTTTTCCACGGAGCAGAACCCTTCTTTCTGACTTTGTCGTCGGTCGTTGTCAGCGCTGAGTGAGATGGGGTTTTCCAAAAATGATAACCATGTGGAAGCCACACAAGCTGTCTAGGTTTTGGATCAAAACTCTGTTTCTTACGCGGGGCCGGGGCCCCCCCCCCCCCCAGCAACTTCGGGATCTGAAGCTGGCCTCCCCCTACCCTCAGCGCCCTCGCCATCTGTCTCCATTCAGGTAGGTAGGTACCTCATGGTCAGCCTTCACACTGCTTGGTGTCTCGTGCGGTGCTGACCGACGCACCCCAGCCCCGCTTGACTCTATCACCAAGCCGCCTACCAGCGCCGTTCCGTGCCTGGCACAGTCTGGAGCCCCCAAGAGCAAGGCAGGCGAAGCGGTGGAATTGTGGACAGGCAGGCCAGAACACTGAGAACAGACGATGTTCGATCAACAGCCGGTCCGGAAAAGCCGTTCCTCAGAAACAAACTCTGAATGGGAGGCGGACGGTCTCCGGAGCATTGGAGGAATGCAAGCAAAAGCAAAGATGAGCAGCAGGCCCCCTGTGCCGGACCCGGCCAAGTCAAGTTCAGTCTGGCACACACGGCACACTGCTGCTCATCACTACTATGATGCCGTTTTGTCTTTCGGAGGAGCGACTAGCATTTTCCCAACTGGGACATACCTCCGAGGTGAGCAACCGCCGCTCAGTTGTCAGGTCTGTTTCACGCCAATCTCGACTGGCCCCCAAGGAGTCGTCATCGTAATTCCACGGTTCACCTCGTTATTGAATAACGAAATTTGTATCGCCGTTGGGGAACCGGTAGCGGTGGCGCCGTCGTCGAGACCGCGCGCTCTCAGTCAAAGAATAGAGTATTGCGCCATCTGAAAGTGATACGGACGCATGCCTACTCTGGATGCTTCCCCGTAATGTTCTTCAGCCCTTTGCACCAGCCACTCCGCACGATTTAGCCTCGATCGGGTCAGACCGTGGCCGGCTTGCACAGTTCTATGCTTTGCCACAAAGACCCAGCGGGGTGGTGGTGATGATTATCAAGCTGTCCAGTGGCGGTGCTTCGGGGTTTTCAAACATCCTTGCCTTCTTGATAGCCCGTGTTCTAGCAATCTACGGAGGTAGCAAACGGGCCTATGGCACTTTGCGGGGCCCGAGACGTCGGCTAGATCAGAGATCGAGAGCCGCCCCGGGAAGAGCAAGGTTCAGGTAGGCTAACACCGTTACATACAGTACTACATAGTAGGCAAGTACGGATACGTAGCTACTGGTATTCTGTCTGCTACCGCGGCCCAGGTGTGGCACCATCTCATTCTAGGCTAAGCGACGGAGATGTCGACTAAGTGCGGTAATGGATTCGAGGTTTCGCAAGGAAGCCAAGGCCCCATTCTGATTGCTTCTCCGCTGTCGAACTACTACGTACTCATGCCCTAGACACTGTTGGTCCGTTCTAAAGCCAGGCGGAAAGACGAGAATACTCCACAGTGGGTTGTTGTAGGGGTTGGGTTGCGTGGTGATTTCGAGAGACACTGAGAGCCGGGGGCCCAAACGGTCAAATAACAGGGAGCTAGTGACGATCCTACAACTCCAGCTTTACGAGCCAGCCAATCTCTACGTTATTTGAGGCCAGTGTCTTGATGACGAGAGTCAGGCAAGGCGGTGCTTCAAGTGGATTGACGGCAAGTAGGCTCCAGATACTATTTAGGGTCCGGCATGTGCGAAGTGCCAAAAAAGAGATGAAAAAACTCCGTAAAGCGAATAGAATTGAAGCAATGGTCCGATGAAAAGACGAGTACGTAGAGAGAGCTTTTTTCTCCCTTTACTAGAGGACGTGCGGGGAATGAGCGCGATTCTACACTACAATGGGTAGTTGTACCAGTTGGTCTTGAGGTAGTACGTAGGGTGAGGGAGAGTTGGGGTAGCTCTCTCCCCCAAAGTTTACAACGGAATCACGCAACTTCGGGGTTCCCTGCTTAGACTGACCTTCACTGCAACGCCACAGAGAATGGTTCAGCGTCGTGCTGAGCGTGAGGCGTTGGTGATCACACATATGGGGCTGCTGGCCTCGGTCAACCACCGAAAGCAAGCGTGGCAGTTGCTGGGCCCGGCTGGCACGTTGAGGCATGTCGAAAACAACAAGGCTATGAAAGGGCCGAGATGTTAAAAATGGGTAGCAAATTCGGTGCCAGCAAGAGGCAGATGATTCAATTAGAGAATGATGATAATCAAAAGAGAGTTTGTATCAAGGCAGGGCCTCGTCTGACTCTTGATGAAAAGGCATATCCATCCATCCATCCAACAACGGAGTGTTGTCCTATTCGGGGGCCTCTCCTGGACGATCGGAGTTGCCTTACCTCGGGATGAAGTTATACATCGTCTCGGACGGGAGGCGAAGAAGGGGGCTGCCACGATGTTGGCGGATGGCGCAAACATCGGGAGTCACGAACAAGAAAAAGAAAACAACGTGAAACTCAGATATTCTGGAGCCATGACGATGTGTTGCCCATCCCGATCCACACACAGCTGAAGACAGGCGAAGGAAGGACGCTGTGGGCAGCAGCGGGAAGGGCGAAAGGGAAGGGATGGAAGCGTGGCCCTCAGCCGTCGTTCGATTGTAAACCCACTCCCCCTAAGGAAAACCCCCAAATCCAGTCCCTATCCCGTCCCTAACCCGTCCCGCGAGTCGCCAATCCCGGGTCGGAAGTCGGCTCGCTCCCTCCCAGTAACTCGGAAAGATAGAGTTTACTGTAAAACAAGGCACTTCGCTGTCCATGCAGGCAGCCAATTTCCACATTCCTTGTGGAGTCAGCTCCCTCGCACTCCAGCCCGAGAGACGTGTAGTTAGGCCAAGGTGCCCCCTCACTCTCTGCGCCGAGCCGAGGGGTGAGGGTGCAGAAAAGAAGGGTTGTAGATGCCAGGACATGCCCAGCGTGATGAGTGGAGGATGTCTTGGCGATAGCAGGGGAAAGCTACGAACACTCAAGGGGGCGGTTGACCTGACTTAGACAACCTTGTCGTCGAGAAGAGAACAATACGCTGACAGGCTTATTAAATACGACACAATGGAGAAGGAGAAAAGCTACTCCTCACACTAGAGGAGCACAGAGCGCAACCACGCACGTACCTTGGACCTATACACACATACGCGCACACACAACTTTCAACGCAAGGGAAGAGAGGGGACAGGTATCCTGGCTCGACAGATCCAGCGGACTGGGAACTGGGAGGTTTCTGGTCCCGTGCCGGTCCCTTGTGGCTACAGACTGATTGACGGGGATGGGAGGGCCCTAGTGCGAAGGCTGCTGCACAAGGGTGCCAAAACGGAGAGCAACCCCATACTGTGTGGTCGATAATGGGATGGATATTTACGTACCGCATACAACAACGCTCCCGGCTGGCAATCAGACAATCAAACAATCAACCGCGTCGGTCGTGGGCGGCCCCCAACCTACAGTGATCAACACGCTATGGTGTCATAGTGCCAGGGATGAGACGGATCATGGCAGATCCTTTTCTCTTTCTGTGAATGTTTTCTCTTTCGCCGTACGGAGTATTACATCTGATACTTGGTAGTGAATCATGGACATCTGCAGTATCCCGTCAAAATCGAGGAGGCATTGGGACGGATCGTTCCCTACTTGGCCTGAGAGAATTGAAGTGATGGTTTGTCAGACAAGACAAAGACAAGGGCACGAGGTGAAAGCAAGGGACCCGGTATGTGCCCAGAGTACGAAACGATACCTACTGGTGCTACGGATAACGGTTCAGGTAATTTTAGGGCGAGCGTTCAGAGGATTCCAGTCCCTGTCTGGAGAGGGATACACATGCGTGCCTGCAACGTATTGTCTCTGTATTGTGTTACGTGTATTTCTCTACGTACTCTGTAATAAAGAGCATGCATATCGTTCCAATGTCGGTTCATACGATGTAGTGTTCTGCGCAGGGGCACCATGGGGATGTCTGTCTCCTTGGTGTGATGGATCATATCCCTGGACTAGGGTATCCGCACTTTAAACTCGTTGAAAAATGCAGACTTACGTATGTTGCGGAGCCCACCAAGGCATCATGGAGAAGCTTGGGAGACGAGAGAAAAAGTAAATGGACTAGGCGTGGGCTGGCAAGGCCCCCGAGATTGATTGTTTGATTGCTCAGAGCATGCTCTTCTGGTGCCCAGCGCAAAGAGGACGTCTTTTTCTTCCCCTCTGTAAGCAGAAAGCCGCAGGCAATGTCTACCCCGGTTCATGGGTTGGTGGGATGGGCGTCGCCGCATGGGGGTGAAGACGCGAGAAAGGCGCGAGGTGAAGGGGGGAAAGTGTGGAAGGGGTCAGGGGGGGGGTGCTCAGAGCTTCCCGTCTAGAGGGGCGGCCGCCCGGTGGCTTACCTGTCTTCATAAGTTCAGCCTTCGCGTAACCGCACGTCTTTCTTTTCGCATTGCGGCACATGCTTTAGGGTGTAAGAGTTATTGCAATAGCATGGGATAGCTTTGAGTTTAGTTGGTTAGTTGGATGGTAAGCTCCTTGGATGACACGGCGGGGGGGGAGTGCGTGAGTTGCATTCTGATTGTCTCCAAGAGTCCATTCCAATCTCATGATGAATCAATCATCAGCCCCCTTTTCTCGCGCGGGTGCCTGTATTCGTGCCATCCGTCCACTGTCCAGGGCTCCAGGCCCGTCGGCCAAGGTCAAAGATGTCTGGTTGAAAGGCTGAGCTAGAGCCAGAGCTAAGAAAGGCAAAATCCCAGGAAATCGAGACAAACAAGACAAATCAGGCGCAGAAGCCTCCATTCCGGTGGTTATTGGGTTGGTAATAATGACAGGGCTCGGAATAAGGTTGCAATAGCGAGGACGAGTCGCAATTAACCGCTCAGCGTCAAGTCAGTTGCTGGCAGTGTAGCGAATCAGAGGCGCCGGGTGTGTCTCCGTGTACGTACTCTGGACGGGTACCCGTACCTACGTTAGTATGCACGTATGGACGGATAGACAAGGCAGGTCGGAGAGAAGGCAATATGGCAGAGCCACGGTGATGTGCTGGGGACCTGGGGTGTCTATGCGCCTATACTACATAGTACACAGTATGCACCGGGCAGCGCAAGCGTAGTGCGGCTAAAACGAGGTTGACTGGACCGTTCCGATGGCCCCTTCCAGTTTCCTGTCCCCCGTCCCCCGTCTATCTCGTCCACCTCGGCCGTATTCGTATGGGGTATCCGTAGGCTCGTAGCATTTGCTCCAGAGTCCCGAGTCCTGCGCACTGCGTCCTGAGCTCCTGACTACTGCAAATCAGCCTGTGGACACCGGCATGACTAACGCACCCTTGGCCGGGTTTGCAAAACCGGGTCCGGAATAGCACCTGGGCCATAAATCCGGACCCGCTGTTTGCCTGCCCTGACCATTCCAAGGGCAAGAGTGACGCTGCATCGAACCCAGCCTCGTTCTGGTTGGTTCCTGGCTCCCGATTGCCATGTCGCTGGCCTGTCTCTCTCCTTCTGCTACGGATACTTCGTACCTATTCGCATATTGTCCTACCACCACCTGTCATACGCAGCCACACTCTCCTTTCTTGTGGCAGGCGACTGGCTACCGACACACCAACTCCTGCGACTAGGTAGACATTAGTGGCCAGAGTCTGATGGCAGCAGAACACTCGAGAGTCAGGAGTGTCATCTCAATGCCCTGTTTCTCAAACACGCTCGCTCCAGAGACATCGATCCTCCCTCTCGCAGCCACTGGGCAGTCTTTCTGCTCGCAGGGAACTCCCGTGACTGACCTGATCAATTGATGGCTTCTCTGCTGCGATTACGGACTACTGCTGCGATTACTGCCGCAACAAGTCCGTTCGTAGCCAGCGTGCCCCCCTTTTTCTTTTTTCTGCTCATCCACTTTTGCTAGGACGGTATCGTTATGCTGAGGAGCATGCTTCTAGACCTTTTCTCTTGACCAGCACCTACCTACTAGCAAATACATGGAGAATGTCAACTTGAGGCAGATGAGCCTCTTGACCTTCCTTACCCGTAGGTACTCCATATCGTCGCCGGGCTCCTCCCACCCTCAAGAAACCGTCGTCTCACCCCTCCATCTCAGCCTCGACTGGCCTCACCGGGCCTCATTAATCATGCCTCTACGTAGTAGGCGGTAAACGCCAGTCCTCACATCCACTCTTTCCGTTGCCATCTGGCCGTTTCTCCTTCCTCGTCGCCACACTATCTTTACTTTTCACGGCCCAGCCGAACATAGGCTTTTGCCAACTCCCGCACATACCGAGTTTTTGCATCATATCGTGCCGCTCAGTGCGCACAAGTCTGTGCTTGCCATTCTCCGTCTCAACTATCAGCATCACACGCGCAGTCCGACATGCCTTCAGACACTGGAAAGGAGTGACCGTCGGGAACTCAGAATCCCCTTTACACGCAGTCAACAGCATTCCCAAACAGCTTGGTCCAAACCGGAAGTATCTCCGTTCTGGTGTTGTGTCAAAGAGACTTTCGGCCATGTGGAGTCACCTACGCCTCTCTTGTTCCATGCCGATCTAGGTCTGAGGTCTAGATGGCTGATTAGCATTCGCGTCCTTCCCTCGTAGTTGAATACCGTGTCGCGCTGCGGTGCGGTATAGAATATAGGAGGCATGGGAACTTTTCTCTCAGTATCCGTCCTCGTGCGCCAGCGTCGGCTCCAGCAGCAAAGCGCGGGACACGGCATTGGAATTCCTAACACTGATCTGCAACCTGGTCCTCCTGGCTGGTTACAGTTTTGACGGCTGACGGGTGGCTGCAAGTCCAAGGGACTTTGAGAGCAAGGTGGTTCGACCCGTGACTAAATTGGAGACACCGATGTTCTCCCGGTCAAGCCAAGCTTCTCTTAGAGTTCAGTTCCTTCGTCGTCGACCTCTGTCCGTCAGTCAAATACCGTCGGTCCAAGTTGTCATCATCGTCGTCGTCGTCCTCATCGCCGCTTGCTGGGTTCTTTAACCTTTCTCTTGCTGAACCACATTCGCACCCCCCTCCCCCTCCCTCTTTCCCCAACACCTCTGTCCCTTGCCCTTCACTTTCACCCTCCCAGATCTTCACCCCTCTCTAGCACACGCCCTCCCCTTCCCATGTTCGTGGGCCGACTACCTACCTACCTCATCACATCTCCCCACTCCTTGCGGGCTGGGATCTGTCGCTATCGACACGACTCCCCGCACCCCCCCCCAAACGACGTCCTACTGTTAGGTGGTAGGAGTCTCACCCATGCAATTTGTGTCCTTTTCATTTCTTTCCCACTTTCCTCTTGGCACTTCTGGGTTCCCAGCCAGCCAACAGTTACCCAACCTATCCTCATGGTGCCAAGCCCCGGTACGAGGCTACCGTACACAGTAGTAATAAATGCCGCCACGTTACACACTTTGCATGGCGGCTGGATGCTTGCAACGGAGACCCCAGTCTTTTGGTGACGGGATGCAAGCCGCATTACTGTTGCGAGCCCAGGTCGACTGTCAACCGCCAGAGGAGAGGGACCCGCACCTCTGTTTCCTCGTCTCGTTTTGCCGATGCCACGGTCCACGACTTGAATTAGACTGGGCTGGAACTGACAACCTTCCTTTCCTCAGGGAAGGAAACTCAACCTATCCGTACGGATTCTGACTGATGACTTACACGCATACCCACGCACACCTCTACCATGCCACACCACATACTCCCACTCCCACTTCCTACGCACGCCTCTCAACTTACACTCCAGGGCCTAGCTTCTTCTTACCCTTCACCCGTCTCTCATCCCACACCTACTTACACGCCTTTTACACACCTTCTTCCGCACACTCTTTTTCGCACTTGTCGCTTCTCCCACGACACCCCCCAGGGCGTTGTCTCTCACACTCCCCCCATTAAAACTCAGAATCCCACACTCCCTGTTGGATACGTACCCCCAATACGGACGATTATACTTTTCAACCCATGCCTGACTATCCGTACCCGTACCTGTCCTGAGCTGCCCTTCCGCTCCCTCATCCGCCGTGACAAGGCCAGATCCTATAAGAAAACCGTCTAATCCGGGGTTGGATTTGTCCTATTCGGATCGGTGCATTTGTATCGCACATCGTATCCACAGCAAGGCCCAGCTCCAGCTCTTCCCCTGCAATAGACAACGCAAGCCAAGGCACAACGTCAAACAACTGTGCGCGCCTCTTTATTGGAGATACCCAGCATCCGCGGTTCTGGCTCTTGTACCTACACCTACCTACCTCGTTGCTGCCCCCCCCCCGCTGCTCATTAAATATCGTCGCCCCTCCCCGTTACCTAGACTAGATCGGATCAGCCCATCTCATTATATATCACCTCTCATCCTCCCCAGCCTTTCCAAGTTTTCGATCACACTCGCCTCTTTACAAAAGATCAACATTTGCCTTCGCCATCTATATATACACATCACCCCGTCCCTCACACTCTACAATGCTGTCCATCACACCCCAGGGAGATCACCATCAGCAGTCCCTCTACCTTCCCTTCAGACCGTTGTCTGCCTCGAGCCGTCCTTGCACCGATTTGCCCTTTCTCAGCAGTCTCGCCAGCAGTATGGGCCACAGCCTTCACGTCGGCAACACCGTCTCGGTGACGCCAGCCTCGCTCAAGGACTCCGCCAGTGTTGCGCAGGCTCTCGAGATCGCGCGAGAGAGCGAAGACGGCGCCTCAGACCCGACTGTTAGCAGCATCCTGGAGAGCGCTATCAGCCAGATCTGGGCAAAGGTCGCTGCGCAACCCGAGTCCTATGTCCTCAACCGGGACGAGTTCGCCGTCTTCAACTACTTCCAACATCGCTTCATGGGCAACAAGATCGCCATGGCCGCGAGAAAGCGCTACTGGGACAACGCTCGCGCGTGACTACCAGGCCCTAGACTTTGCTGAGGTACTCGCATATATCTTGGGTTTCCCGCGCAACCGGATCACTGAGCGTGGCTGGGCTCGCAACTTCGCCTCTCTAGCTTTGTACACAAGGCAACGGCTCTGCGAGTAGCATGTTTGCTACTACTGCAAAAGCGAGCCTCGGTTGCCCAGTGTGGCGTTCCCCCCGACTCTTACACGGGAAGCATCACACTCACAATTAGGAACTACACCTGGAGGGTTCACGAATTATGACTCTCGTTTTGTCGGCATGTATACTGGGAGGTACATCTCGCAGTTTGCGCAGATGACCCATTGTCTCGGCCATGCGCAGCCCGCGCCCGCCTATCTTCTTCCGTGGATGAAGCATTCAACTTCGGTGACAGACAGAATGTCCTTTGCCACAGCTTGTATCACAAGTTGCAGGCATCAGATTCCGCCATAGTCCGCCAGGACTCTGGCAACATGGCTTGGCTCAGCCGAGAATCCTGTCTTGGCTTGTTTGCGCGCCTCGGTCCCCTTATCCGTCCCATAATCTCATCAACCCGCCATCAAATCCACCAGACAAATATTTCCGTTCTAATACCCGAAAAGCACCCGCTTATCAGACCAAACCCCTGCTCCGGGGCGTTGCATCAACGAGGGAAAACTGGGTCGCGTCCAAGCGTCCTCACTCCCCTTTCCCTTCTCCAAGAGGAGCCAAAAAAAAAAAAAAAAAAAAAAAGGACTTCCACCTCTCCTCAATCTTATTCTTCCCAAGAATGCCTCGCGCTCTCAAACGTCAATCGAGGCAACTCACACTTGGCTAGTCGGGAAGAGAATGGCATTAGCTGGAGAAGCAAGCGATTCGGCCCTGGGTTCTAGACAGCAGCCGGCGGTTCAGCAAGGATACTTTGTGCAAAACAAATGAACTTGAATTGAGGCCTGGTCGAACGTCTTGAACACAGCCTGGCGAGCTACTACCTCCTGCGACACGCATCAGCACACTGCTACCTACCATTCGGGTCCGAATGCCTTTGCCCGTGGAGGCTCGCTTAACTTCCGAGGCAAGCGTGCATGCCAAGCTTGACCTCGATCTGCACGACTACTCATCATCTAGCGCCACTGCAGGAGCGAGAGCACATTCGCACAGACATGGAACAAACGTTCTGCACTTTTGTGTGAATGTTACCCGGACGACAAGACTGCAGCAACTCGCACAGTAATGATACTTTGCCACCTTCAAACAAGTCCTGCCGCACGGCTGACTTGGCAGCGGGATCGCTCTCGAGTAGAGACGATTAGCTGGCGGTGTCTGAAGGGACGACTCGTTGGTTTCGGATCACTGGTTGCCGGTAGCCATCCAAGCCACCGGCAGCATGTGTCACTTGCTGCCTCCCTACACCCCTCTCTCTCCCTCCAAGTGTGGCTTTACCATACCAGCGCTCGAGGCGCCTCTGTGAAGAGCCGCTAAGACGCTGCCACGACACGACAAACCATGGTATCATTTCACTCCCAGTGATTTGTGCTACCAGCCGAGTGTCTTGGATCGGGGGCCGCGCGGGCCAGTCGTCGATGGACGACGAGTCTGTGTGTCAGTTTAATAAACTTTGGGAAAACCGTCGAGACCGGGCGATGTGCAGCTGTCGTAATGTGGAGGAAAAGGAAGTCATGGGGCGATCGGCGTAGGAGAAAGAGGGCTGGTGTGATGTCATCACACATAATCGAGTTGCACTTTTGGCGCAGGTTAAATTCCTTTTCATTCTATTCGTGTTCATAGTTTGCACTCAACGCCGGACAGGCATGGCACTTTGGCATGGCATTTTGTACTTTTCCTGTATCATAGACATGTTCCAGACGGTCGCATTCTGGAAGACAGTGTAAAAACTGGAGAAACAAATGGATTTTTCTGCTCATCACTCTCATCACTTGCCAATCTTCCATGTGACTAGATTTGTAATGGTATTTCGCGATGCGTCTACACGGGGAATTTTGATTTTCCAAATCTTGCGACCGTGGATTTCGGAAAGGAGGGCAGGCGCATGCCTAAGGTATGGTGCCTCAGCTCAGCTTGGATCCCGGGCTGGCTCTCGCGCTCCTGCGCGTTTAAGGTTATTCGGCGTTTTGTTTGGCTTGCATGGTCTGGCAGGTGCGGAGTCTGCGATTTGGTGACAGGACAGGAAATCGAGCAAGGAAAGCACCCTGCAAGAGCTCTCCTCCTGCCGCAAAGCAGCCACCATAGTGTTTGAGGAAGTTCGGACTTCTGGCTTCCTACCGTCGGCTGTTCCTCTTCCTGGTTGCGTTCTTCCCTCTTAGGTCCGGCACGGAATTCTCACAGTCTGAGGCAGGCTGGTACCTGAGCTGAAAGACTGCAGGCGGAAGAGGAAGAAACCTACCTTACCTTAATCCAAAGCAGCTGAGAGGGGAAGGTTGATACATCAAACACACACACGCACAAACACACACACACACACACGCACACGACAACAGCCACAGCAGACGGATTTCCCTGCTTCTCACTTCTTGGCTTTCTTTTGACTCCCGCTGCTTCACAGAACAAACATACTTCCCTTTTGCTTATCCATCTGTGATCTGCTTCACCGCCGGCTCATCCTCCTCGCTAAACAGCATCGTCAAAGCATCACTGAATATCGAATGGTGGCTTCACTCTAGTGCTGTGCCTTTTCCCGGATACGGCGGTGGACTTGTCCCTTACAGTTACCTCAGCCAATTCTGCTCGCCCGTTGTCTGTCCAGACAAGTCCTTCCTCTAGGCCTTGGGCTCCGACATTGGGTCAGTTTCTCACCCACTCCGTTGCCGCCTATTCGATCGGTTCCAGCATCATAGCACGCCCGCGGTCCTTTTACGTTTGGACGGCGCTCCATCGTGGCACCCTCGCTTGCCGTCCTGGAGCCATACGGTATCATTATCTCAGTCAGCAGCAGGTAAGGTACGCTCCACACAGCATCAGAGACCAAGCCCAATGTGGTTCAGCCCACAGCCTCCCCGCTCCCTTACCAGCCAGCCGCCCAAGCCGTTATACTTCCAATAGATGCGGAGCCACGTACTGTATCCGTATCCCGTCCCTTCGTTTACCAAATCTCGTCTGGCGCATGGCCTAAGGCGCCGCCGATTCCTTAGTGTCGCTCAGCTGCTTGCACCGGTGCTTGTTCCTCATGTTTGCCTTTGGGTGGCGTTCGCCGGCTTCACTCGCATTCCTCCCATGTCTCCACACTCCTCTTCTCCCTGCCCGGCCCTCCGGGATTCGGTGGCTTTGCTCGATGCGCCGTTTTGCTCACACCTTCTTTTCCGTCACGCGGTTTCTGACACCAACCACCAGACACGTACCCAACCCATAGACGTAGGGCAGACAGGCCTCAAGGTTGCAGAGTGAGGCGTCGAGCCTGAACCTCCACAGGGCTCCACGATGACCCCTCGGCCAGTCACTCGGGCGCTTGCCTTGTCTCTCTTTGTCCTCGTACTGAACACGGGCTTCGTGGCTTCACATAATCTGATCCCAGCAGCGGCCTTGTCAGACCATGTCAACCGCCTCCAGGAAACTATCGCCGATACTCCGGCGCCAATGGGCACTTTGCTAGATGCAGAGGGCGCTCAACAACAGAAGCCGCTCGACTGTATCCAAGTCGCTCAGCCAGTGCTGGGTCCAAAAGGCCCCGTCTACCAGGCGTTGACGGGCAGCTTTGATGATGGCATGGGTAAATTCCCGACGACGGACCCCAAAGACTGCAAGGTGCAGTTGATGGACAACTCTTTTGGTAACAGCTTCGAGAAGCCCTTCGTCGGTAAGTGATATTGCAATCTCATCACACCACCACCGACGCAAATGCGCGGTGGATAACCCGGAAATAGGTGTCCTAACTTGGAGTGGATAGGCGACTACAAACCTCCTGGCTGCGACTTCAACCGCGTAATTGTAAACTTTACTGCCACCTCTGCAGGCCGCCAGCTGGATCGGCTGGCTTTGTTGTATCTCGGCGACACGGAGGTATGGAGAACATCCACTGCGGAGCCCAGGGCGGCGCCCGGAATCACCTGGACCTATTGGAAGGATATGACCCCGTATCTTAGTCTCTGGAAGACTCCCCAGAAGATCATTTTCGACCTGCCCAACCTCATCGGTAAGCCCATACCCCGTATGCCCAGTCCCTCCAAGTGACCTACCTACCATCCCCGAATCCTTCCCTATGGGACTTGGGAGTGGGGGCCAAAACGGCTAATGCGCCCCCAAGATGACAGGTTTACGGGGCCCTTCAACTGCACCCTGACCGCAACCTTTTTCAAAAGCGACGTCAAAACCGATAGTGCACCCCCGGCTGACCTCATCATCCCCATCTCGTCACGGAACGCATCCTCCAACGCAGGTAGTGCCTGGCAAGTGCCTGAACGCGAAGCCGTGAGCACTGTCAAATTTCCGCGCAACGCCAATCGAGCAGTCTTCTCCGTCTCAGCCAATGGCCAAGGAACTGAAGAATTCTGGTGGAGCAACGTCCTCCAGAGCGATGCCGCGGCATTCAATGCCACTGTTGGTATGGCTCCTGATGGCAGCCCATGGCGTGAGGTGCAAGTCATCATTGATGACCAGCTAGCCGGGGTACAGTGGCCATTCCCTGTTATTTTCACTGGAGGCGTCGTCCCCAGCTTTCATCGGCCGCTCGTAGGTCTCGATGCTTACGATTTGCGGGAGCACGAGATCGACATCTCGCCATGGCTCCCGGTTTTGAGTGATGACAAGGAGCACACATTCAAGATCAAAGTCGCTGGCCTCGCCGATGATGGGCAAAAAACAGTTGTGAATACCACCGTTGGAAATTTCTGGGTTGTCTCTGGCAAAGTCTTCCTCTGGCTAGACGAGGAGGGCTCCATCACGACCGGGAAACCGCCTAGCGTGTCAATCTCTGACCCGGACATCAAAATCACCGGTCGTGCCCTAGGAAAGAATTCTACAGGCGCCAACGAAACCCTTGCGTTCAATCTCGATGTGACGAGGATGATCTCTGTCAAAGGCGAAGTCGTGTCCAAGAAGGGGACGAAGAACCCTGAGTGGACTCAAAAATTATCTTACACCAACAATGCGACACTAGGCCAATTTGGCCGCAATGGCTTCAATAGCTTCATCATCACCGGGACTGACGAACTCACTGGGATGGGAACATACAAGTCAACGTACTCGTACCCGCTGATCGTCAATCAAACTGCCAACGTGGCGGCAAATGGTGACCTGAGCCTTGACGCAACATTATTCCAAGAACTGAGGTTGGAAGTTGAAGGGGTCGGTGTATATCCGACCGGGCTTGAGGCTTACAACAACCCAACCCGCAACAGGCAGGGACAAAGCAGCCAATACAAGACTGCTAAACTATCGACGTTGCGCAACGGCACGGCAGTCTTCAACATGCCGGCGGATATGAAGAGCAGCTCAGCCTTTGGCACTACTCGGCAGGTCTTCCGGTTCAGCGGCGGCCGGAACGGAGCACGGGACGTGGAGCTCTACACGAGGATGGTTAGGGCAAGCAACAACACGGTGCTTTCCGACGAAGAAAAGTCTGCCCATGGCCGAGAGAAAGTTTTGTCCGTCTCAAACCCTTCAGGAGAAGCCAATTAGGATCAGCAAAGGAGCACTAGTTACAGGTGAAGGCTCTCAAGTTTCAACTTTCAAGAGACTAGTAGTAGACATTCGAGGACAGCCGTGAGCAGTTGCTGTACGGATACTCCGTACAGCCAAGGACAAACATGGACAAATCATGGACAAATCATGGACAAACATGCAATGTCGGACTCCGGATTACACCGACCAGCTGGAATTTGGCACGGACGAAAAGGCGGGAGCCGTCAGGCTAAGAGCACCTACTGAACTGAGCTGGCTC